CTAGAACTATAATGTATTGGAAGCCTCTCCCTGAGGCTTCCAAAGAAAAGAAAACTTTTCCAAGTACTCGTAGAAATTTTATTTGCTTGAAACCTTCCAAGGAGACTTAAACTACCTGAAAGCTGACAAGTCAATTAACATTTTTGGAAACAATCTTACCCCGCAGGAAGCCTCCTCCAGGTAATCTATACTACTGGAAACCTTCCAGGGTATTTTTAAGTACTAGAAGCCTCCATCAGGCAACTTTATCTATTTGGAAGCCTCCTCCAGGCAACTTAAATTACTGGAAGTGTCCTTATTATATATATTCTTATAAGCATACTTGTATGTATTGTTGCTTTGTTCTACTGTGAACACAATGAAAAACAAAATTAGCTTTTGTATTTTCCGTTGATCAGAAAAAGCTCATACTGGACCACTATAAAATAATTACCCATTTTCGACATAATATTGACCCCCCAAAATTATTGCAACAAACACTAGTCATTATGGGGAATGTAACCCGAGTTAATTGACATTACTTAAAAAATAATATGACGAGTACTTCCATATATATATATATATATATATATATATATATATATATATATATATATATATATATATATATATATATATATATATATATATATATATATATATATATATATATATATATATGTTGTACCTAGTAGCCAGAACGCAGTACTCGGCCTACTATGCAAGGCTCGATTTACCTAATAAGCGAAGTTTTCCTGAATTTATATATTTTTCGATTTTTTTTTTCATATGAAATGATAAAGCTATCCATTTCATTGTGTATGAGTTAAGTTCATTTAATTTCAGTTAAAACTAACGTAGATATACGACCGAACCTAACCAACCCTTCCTAACCTAACCTATCCTAAACTAACATAACTAAGTCAATAATTTATGTTCTTAACATAATATAATAATAATAATATTTCAAAACCACCAATTGGAAACAATATTTTGAAAATAAAGAAAATCACTCGGCCTATTAGGCAAATCGGGCCTTACAACCGAGAAGTGCGTTCTGGCTACTAGGTACGACATATATATATATATATATATATATATATATATATATATATATATATATATATATATATATATATATATATATATATATATATATATATATTATGCAGTTGCTCTGTAATATTATGTGGACAGACTAAACGTCGTTGAACAAATGTAAATGTTTGCTGTTTCATATACATATAATAACGTATACATGGAATATGTTTGCAGCAACATATTGTGAACTAGGCGACTGGAGAAGCTTTGCCTTGTGAGGTGTTTTCTAGGATTGAGAGTCTGGGGAGTGGCGGGTGATTACGGAAACATTGGGCCCTAAACACTAGAGTGTTACAACTGGCGGCTGACTGACAATACTCCCAGACCCAATTTTCCTCTGTTTCGGAAGCTGCCACGAAAAGCTTCTTTAAAGATCAGTGGTATATAGCGACTCCGTGAAAGTGACAGTTTCTGCCGACATTAGATATAGCTTGTCTGGACTGTCATGTACAACCAGAGGGGACGCTGTACTATCCGGGGGATAGGTGACTGCCGCTTACAAGCTGGCTAGAGGCTTGTGACGAGCTTAATGCTCTCAAGCCACGTCAGGCATTGTGACCTAATGCACCGAGTCTCAGAGTAACAGTTGAAGGTCACATAAACCAGTGGACAGAGTCTCTAAGTCCCACTTGAAGCTCGCGAGAGTGAGTGGACAGACTAAGTCACATCTGAAGAAGATAAGAGTCTTTGACTTCTTACAGCCATTTGTTTGTAATGCCCAGGAATGGTAAATAAGACACACACACACTTTGAGCATAGTGTGATGGATCAACACACAAACACTGTGAGCACAGTTTGTGATTAATATACTCTCGTGTTCTACACTGTCATAACTCACCTTACACAGTGTGGGAACAGAACACTCGGTTCTACACAGCTAATTTAGATCCAGATTCCTCCCAGCCTCTAACACAGCGCTAAGACACTTATCTCGTTATCAGCCTCATTCTTGCAGATTACTGCAACAGTTCAGTCATTTAGATCTTGTCTCACTTAATATGTCCAGTTGCAAACATGATTTTAGTAAAATAAATGGAAATACAGTGGTTCCTTCCTTCATATATTGTTTGTCATTATTCTTGAGGAAGGTAGTCATGCAGAACGGGTGCCAGGGGTCGGGTGCCAGAGTGACGGGTGCCACGAGGACGGGTGCCACGAGGACGGGTGCCACGAGGACGGGTGTCAGGGGAACGGGTGCCAGGGGGACGGGTGCCAGGGGAACGGGTGCCAGGGGGACAGGTGCCAAGGGAACGGGTGCCAGGGGGACAGGTGCCAAGGGAACGGGTGCCAGGGGGACGGGTGCCATGAGGACGGGTGCCAGGGAGACGGGTGCCAGGGGAACGGAAACCAAAGGAACTGGGGCAGGAACGAACAGAAGCAAAATTTGGCAATAATATCTTGAATTTAAAGGCGATCTTGTGTTAGATGAAGATAGGCATTTGTGGGCCCATTACTGGGAATTAAGTGCTGGGGGCGACGGCTTCTTGCTAGGGAGAAGATGGGAATGAAGAGGGGGTGAACGGAAGCGGAAGGGGAGGGGAAAGATGGAGTGGGCAAGGGGGAGGTAGAGAGAGGGAAATTGAGAGAAGGGTTAGAGAGAGGAGATTGAGGGAGAAGGAACAAGAATTGGAGAGAGCGAAAGTATATAAGATAAACATGAACGTCATCACTCCCAGCTCTCCCCTCGCCAATTGGAAAATCCTTTATTGTTCAATATCTAAAACTCTCGACGAAAAAAGCTTAACAGTGGTGGCCAGAGTACAATAGTGAGAGCCAGAGCCAGCGGTGGTTGCTGCCAGGTTGGTGGTGTGGCCCTGGAGCGAGAGGGTGTGGTATACCTCAGGGAGATGGTGTGGCCCTGGAGCGAGAGGGTGTGGTATATCTCAGGGACATGGTGTGGCTTTAAAGCGAGAGGGTGTGGTATATCTCAGGAGGGTGGTGTGGTTTTAGAGCGAGAGGGTGTGGTATACCTCAGGGACATGGTGTGGCTTTAGAGCGAGAGGGTGTGGTATACCTCAGGGAGGTGGTGTGACCCCAGAGCGAGGGTGTGTAGTATATCTCAGCGCTCAGGGTAAGTTTGACTAACTTTTGCATCTTTATATAACTTAGCAAAAACAAATGAAAGTTAGTTCGTTGCATGTAATCTCCCTGTGGCGCAGAGTGTGAAGTATGAGCCCAGCCTCCAGCAGCATCAGTACCTGTGGCCACTGTGAAGGCTGTCTACCAACTATGGATGATTGTTTCATCCATCACAAACAAATCCAAGTTTTGAACCTTTAGTATCAAAGGCATAATAAAAAAGCAACAAGCAAACCATGTTAGACAAAATTTAGCATATATAAAATGCCAAGTCCTATACAAAGCCAATGAAAGAGTTTAGCTTTGGCTGTTATCTTCTTTTTACAGGCTCGCTATAAAATCAATAAAACACAACCTGGACATTTTAGTTCAAAATGGTAAATTTTAAGTTAATTCCATCAACAGTAGCACTACAGATTTTTTTTGCGAGAATTGGCTTTAAAATTTAGCGAGTCAAGAGTCTATATACGTATCAAGGTCAAGTGTCTACATTTAATTTTGTGAAAATGGCTGCAAATGGTTTGGCTACAATTAGATAGAGTCTGTTGGTGTTTTTATCGCTTCTCTGCCATATTTTGTAGTATAGATGATGGCGGTGTAATGGCTTTGACAGGGAGCTAGAGGTCACAGGCACAGCTCAAGTCGGGTTTCCAAAATGTTTGGTCGAGTTCAGACTTAGGTGTGTTCATTAGTGTATTCTCGTCCCTCCAACGGCCGACCCCAAAGACGCATTCAATAGTTTTAACGTACTGTGTATCCGAAATCGATATATTTTATTTCGAAATTAACATTATTGTATATTTGAATTTTATAAATAATTAGGCTTAAATTAGGTTAGGTGAGGTGCTCAAGCAAACACACACACGCATAGAAGGTCTGGTAACTGAGTGGACAGCGCGCAGGACTCGTAATTCTGTGGCCCGGGTTCGATTCCCGGACCAGGCAGAAACAAACGGGCAAAGTTTCTTTCACACCGAAGCGCCCTGTTACATAGCTGTAAATAGGTACCTGGGAGTTAGACAGCTGTTACGGAGCTGCTTCCTTCGGGGGGGGGGGGAATTAGTAGTTAGTTACAGTTGATTGATTGACAGTTAAGAGGCGGGCCGAAAGAGCAGAGCTCAACCCCCGCAAGAACAACTAGGTGAATACACACACACACACACAGGGGCCGGTGGCTGAGTGGACAGCACGCTTGATACGTAGTCTTATGGACCGGGGTTCGATTCCCGGCACCGGCGGAAACTATGGGCAGAGTTTCTTTCACCCTGATGCCCTGCTACCTAGCAGTAAATAGGTACCTGAGAGTTAGACAGCTGTTACGGGCAGCTTCCTGGGAATGTGTGTGTGTGTGTGTGAAAAAATATTTAGTAGTTAGTAACAATTGATTGACAGTTGAGAGGCGGGCCGAAAGAGCAGAGCTCAACCCTCGAAAGCACAACTATGTGAACACAACTAGGTGAATACACACACACAACAAAGAAACATAAATATTTATGTTTGCAACTCGGTTCATTACCAATGATTATGATAATGCTGTTAATGTTAATGATGAGAGAGAGAGAGAGAGAGAGAGAGAGAGAGAGAGAGAGAGAGAGAGAGAGAGAGAGAGAGAGAGAGAGAGAGAGAGAGAGAGAGAGAGAGAGAGAGAGAGAGAGAGAGAGAGAGAGAGAGAGAGAGAGAGAGGAGAAGTAAACGAATGGCATCATGCAGCGTCGACATATAAAACAAAAATAAAAAACATTCACTTTCTTAAAAAATGACATACAAATTGCATAAAATTCCCGGGAGGCATAGCGACAGGGGGAGGGGTGGGGGGGGGGGGGTGACGGGCACTAACCTGGCTAGGTGTCATCCTTAATTATGGTGGTGTTGGTGGTGGTCTGGGGCGGGTGCGCCACCGTCTGGATGCTGTGTGTTTGGTTGGTCTGGAACACCAAGAGCGTCACACTCTCGGGCTGTCTGGTCGGGGAGTCCGCGGCTCTCCTCCTGTACGACTCCGGCAGGATCCAACCCATCTTGATAAAGATGGGCGGCAGGAACTCGAGCAGTTCCCGCCGGAGGTTGGTGTTGAGCCAGCCGTAGAGCACGGGGTTGATGCACGCTGAGCTCATGGCGATCATGTGGCAGGCTCCGAATACCGTATACAGGTGAGTCGGATCTCTGAAACCTTCGTACTCGAAGTCCGCCAACAGGTTAACTATATTCCAAGGCAGCCAACAGACAGCGAAAGCCACGGCGATGGTGGAGAGCAAGATGGTGGTCTTACGGTTGCGCTCGATCTCCTTCTGGGCCCTCCTGGCATCGTACTGACCCATCATATGCTGGCCCAGGTACCTCTTGATGCGGGCGTGCACCACACTCAGCACCACTATGGGGATGCCGTACTGGGTCAGCAGCAGCGCAATGATCCAAACGTTTTTGACGCTTCTGGAGGGCCAGTGGTCGACGCAGCGGGAGTAGAGCAGAATGTGGTGAAGCTTCACCTGCGTCACGATGTAGTAGAAGTAGAGTGGCAGGGCGAAGAGCACAGACGAAGTCCAGATGGCGCATATTGAAGCCGCTACGTGAAACTTACTCCGAGTCGATCTTCCGACTTTGACTATGGTTGCATAGCGATCGACCGCTATCGCAACGACCGTCGACGTTGACACCATGATGTTGGCCCCTTGTAGCACGGGAACGAGCTTACAGGCAAGGCTGCCCATCCCCCAGTTCTTGTAGAGGAGACCGACGAGGGTCACAGGCATGCAGATCAGGCACATGCTCAGATCCGACACTGTTAGATTGATTATGTACAAATTCCTTGGCGTACGCATGGCTCTCTTGCGCCAAATGACCCAACCAACCATCATGTTGCCCCCGACGCCAAAGAGGATGAGACTGATGTAGCAGACGATGAAGACGACCTGAGTCACGACATCCAGGTACCCAGCTTGGGTGTCGGAGATGATGTCGTAAGCCTCGTTGATGGAAAAGTTGAAGAGAGGATGATGAGATCCGTTGGAGTTGTCAGCGAAGGTCGGATCTAGCAGTAACTTCCCCAGCTTTTCCCAGGGAAGGAACTGAGCAGCGAGGTCCTCCTGCGGGGAGAAGCCTCCGCCACAACCACCAGATTCCCTGCAGGAGACTTCCACCCCTCTCACCTCCTCAAGCATCCTCTCAACATCCTCTTCCTCCACCACTCTTCCTGTAGCACCCTCACTAGATGCCTCCAACATGAATAAGTGGGAGGGGTCAGTGCAGCACATATGATCAGGAGGTCAGCTCAACACATACGACGAGTGGTCAGCGCATCACATACGACGAGTGGTCAGCGCATCACATACGACCAGTGGTCAGCGCATCACATACGACGAGTGGTCAGCGCATCACATACGACGAGTGGTCAGCGTATCACATACGACGAGTGGTCAGCGCATCACATACGACCAGTGGTCAGCGCATCACATACGACCAGTGGTCAGCTCAGCACATGTGACACGCACTTAACTGAGTCGGTCATGAGACAGTGCTAGTAGAGACGTCGGAATAACAGATATTTACAGCACAACACCCACACCGCTTCCTTCTATACTATTTATACACACAAAATATGATACTTAGTCACTGTACGAGAATTGTCACATTTCAAGCATCTGTAAAAAACATTATCAGTAAGGGAAAAGTTGACAATTTATTCTTTATTACGGTAAGTCTCTCATATTTCAGACGTGTATCATTTCATTAACAAATCCCCCGATATTGCGCAAAAGTACCTCGATCTTGCGTAAAAGATCCATATGGGTTTTTCAACTCCACTTAGTCAGCGACCAATTCCACTCCAGATAACGAAAAAAAATATCTAATTAATCACCGACTCAACCATGAATTTTGAGAGAAAGTGATATCAAAATGTTTCACCATCCACTAACGCTACAGCCTCGAGGATAATATCTGTTCAATTTTCAGCTGTCACTCAGATGTAATCCTCTAATCCGTGTATTTACCGACAGTTGTGGAGGAGGAGGAGGAGGGGTCTGGGATCTCGTTCAGCCATCAGGAGCACCTGAAATGAGAAATATTACAGTTTTGAGTGTGGTAAATGTTACGGTTAAATGCGAGAGGGAAATATTAAAGCCTTTTACGAGCATTGAAAGGGCTGCGTGCACGGATCTGGGAGGCTCACACACACACCCTTTCAAGACACAAGGCACCAACGACCTGAGTTCAACGTCGAACACGACCCTTAAATGTATTTTATAACCCCTGTTCCTCAGGCACTTTCTACCGATACCTCCTCATGGTTTTATGTGTGTTATGTAAACGGAACGGCAGAGGCACTATACACACACACACACACACACACACACACACACACACACACACACACACACACACACACACACACACACACACACACACACACACACACACACACACACACACACACACACACACACACACACACACACACACACACACACACACACACACACACACACACACACACACACACTCGAAACTAATATTGCTTCACATTCAAAGAAACAACCAAAACTAACATTGTAATACAAGCAGGAGTGACAATGAGCAACCAAGTGACAAGACTACGAACAACGGGAGGGAAATATACAGAAAGTGATAAGGAAATGTGCGGGGAACTAAGCGCCAGTTCCCGCGGGGTGTTCACACCTGAGCAGCTCCCGGGCTAGAAGAGGGGCCGTAACCCTAGATGAGAGACTGTTGAAGTAACAGCAGAGGAGTGAGGAAATATTTAGCTTCACTAGACGAAGCTAAAGCTGTTGGACCAGATAATGTCTCACCGTGGATGTTAAAAGAGGCAGCACCGACTCTCAGCTTCTCTTTAGCCTCTATTTTTTTGAATGAGTCTTTACAAAGGGAGAATTGCCCAGCTGCTGGAAGAAGGCAAATATGCTACCACTTTACTAGAAAGGAGATACGAAGGAGGCACTTAGTAGGTCGGCCTCGTGAAAGAACCTTAATATAAGCCTAAAATTTATATATACACTGGCTGCTTGTTCCTCGGCACAATGAATTATTATTATTATTTTTTTAAAACAGTGAGTTGAGTTATCTTCAACGACTTCTTCGTCTAACCCATTCTATTTACTGTCATCTCTGTGACTCATCTGTGTCTCTAGTTTCTGTCTGTGCCTCTCTCGTTCTGTTGTTCATAGGTTCTTTGTCTACTTTGTCAATGTTCCTTAGAATCTTATATAAGATTCAACTCTTGACAGGACATTTACATATTAAGAAATACTGTGGGTCCCAGCACCGATCCTTGAGGTACTCCGCTTGTTACCGCCCCTTCCCGCCCCTCACTGTCACCCTCTGATTCCTGTCTATTAGATAATTCCTTACCCATATCTGTGCTTTTTCCGCTTTCTCTCGCCTGCCTCTCGAGTCTGTGAAGTATTCTCTTGTGAGGTAATGTGTCAAAAGCTTTTTGACACATCGGGCAGATTGCTCATTAGTCCAGAAATATGCAATCTGCTTAACTCTCTCTACCCTACTTTATTTTCGTCACATTATCATAGAACTCCAGTAGGTTAATCAGGCACGATTTCCCTTCCCTGAAGCCAAGTCGATGTTTGTTTACATGTACCTAATTATATCCAGATGTGTAACTCGTCTCATCATCATTACTCTTCCGAGTACAGGGCAGGGGATGCTTGTGAGTGACATTGGTCTGTAGACCCTCTCCAGGATGTAACTCTCTCACCATGCTGAGTAACTCCTGGGTACCTATTTAATACTAGGTGAATAAGGGGGGCATTAGCTGATAGAAAACGCGCCCATCCATTTCTCTCCTGTCCGAGATTTAAATCCGGAATTCTCGATTGTGAGTCGAGAACGAATCCCACTGTATTACCCGGGACCCTCAAATGAAACATTGACGAGGAAAAAAGTGAGAACTTGTCACTGTAATAATTTAATAAGAACCTTCAGAAGACTAGCCAAGGGGCCGAGCTCAGTCCTGCTAGCATATCTAGGTGAACACAACCGAGTACGTAACCCGGCCATAGGTGAATGCAACCGTGTACGTAACCCGGCCATAGGTGAATGCAACCGTGTACGTAACCCGGCCATAGGTGAATGCAACCGTGTACGTAACCCGGCCATAGGTGAATGCAACCGTGTACGTAACCCGGCCATAGGTGAATGCAACCGTGTACGTAACCCGGTCACAGGTGAATGCAACCGTGTACGTAACCCGGTCATAGGTGAATGCAACCGTGTACGTCACCCGGTCATAGGTGAATGCAACCGTGTACGTAACCCGGCCATAGGTGAATGCAACCGTGTACGTAACCCGGTCACAGGTGAATGCAACCGTGTACGTAACCCGGCCATAGGTGAATGCAACCGTGTACGTAACCCGGTCATAGGTGAATGCAACCGTGTACGTAACCCGGTCATAGGTGAATGCAACCGTGTACGTAACCCGGCCATAGGTGAATGCAACCGTGTACGTAACCCGGTCATAGGTGAATGCAACCGTGTACGTAACCCGGCCATAGGTGAATGCAACCGTGTACGTAACCCGGCCATAGGTGAATGCAACCGTGTACGTAACCTGGGCACTCAACACCGATATTTCCAGCGACCTCTGGCAATAGCCGGAGCCGCTCCTCAGAGTTGCCGGTGTTCAGCTGACCGCTGGCTTCCTGGAAATGGCAGGAACGTACCTCTGTTTTTTTCAAGAGTGGCGAGGGATAGGTATTGAATCATTCAGGATCTATTTCTGCTGCTGCTTCAGTGTTCAGTTGAATCAGCACTGAAAAGACTTTTTTTGTGTCATCGATAAGTAGTTTGTTGTTCTATGTTTTGAATTGTCTTTGCGTTTAGAATGGATAGCCATTGTTGTTGTTGTTGTTTGAGTAATTTGTTTGTTCTCTACACACGTAAACAAGCGATGAGAGAGCTGGATTTTTGCCTCATTATGACCGTATTTTTGTTAATGGGTCAGTGTGGTAGCGAGAAGTTCGACTGTTATTTTTTGGGGGAACTTTGTTAAATTTGTCGGTATGGTTGCTGCCTACTACTGGTGTAGTAGTTACCTACTATTGCTATGGTATAGCTTGCAACTCTTCGTGTAGTAGGTACTTTATTATCTTTGATGTTACGAACATATTGTCATGGTCCTTACCTACCTCTACCTATATGTCTTAATTAGCTCTAGAAGAAAATCACAAACTTTAATTATGATACGGCGTAGACATTTCAGAGCAATTGTTACTCCTCTTTGACGATTGGGCATTAATTAACGATAAGTGCTCAACGTAAGCCATTAGCAACGGCATTTATATCAATTAATAACTATATTATTAGTAAGAAAAACACACATTGAAGTCACAATTAGGTCTTACCGGCTTGGTATCTCCACTACACATAAGGGGTATAACTGGCCAACCCCTCGCAGTGCTCAAGAGAGAACTCGATAAACACCTCCAAAGGATACCTGATGAACCCGGTTGTGACTCATACGTCAGGCTGCGAGCAGCCGCGTCCAACAGCCTGGTTGACCAGTCCAGCAACCAGGAGGCTTGGGAGATGACAGGGCCGCTGGGACGCTAAGCCCCGAAACCAACACAAGGTAACCACAAGGTAAGGTAGCAGCTAAAAATGAAATAAAAAACATTTTTAACCAATGTAGTTTGACCAGACCACACACTAGAAGGTGAAGGGACGGCGACGTTTCGGTCCGTCCTGGACCATTCCCAAGTCGATTGTGAGAATGGTCCAATCGACTTGAGAATGGTCCAGGACGGACCGAAACGTCGTCGTCCCTTCACCTTCTAGTGTGTGGTCTGGTCACACTACTTCAGCCACGTTATTGTGACTCATCGCCTGCATTTTTAACCAATCGGTGTAAATTTTTATATTCTTTTAAAGTCAATGAAATATTCATTATTTCCAGCAAATACATTTTCCAATAACAGAAAACAAAACAAAACAATTTCAAAAGAAAACCCCCCAAAATATAAATGATTTTTTTGGATGGGCTGCCAACCACAACAGGCAAAAAGCCCCGGGTAACGACGCAACCATCCGGGACCCACGTGTCGGCCTGGTTACTGAGGCCCACTTGTCACGAGGGCTGACCTCTCCCATGGGAATAATTGTTCACGAGGGGAGATTATTTCTTTCCTCTCTGTTAGTCGTTTCTGTCCCCTCTACTCCTCCATCGTGAGAGGCAAGGGTGAACATGGGAGGGGTGAGCATGGGAGGGAAGGAACTGCTGTAGAATGGCGCAAAGTGAAACACATCTATATCTATGTCTATATCTATATTTCTCTCTCTCTCTCTCTCTCTCTCTCTCTCTCTCTCTCTCTCTCTCTCTCTCTCTCTCTCTCTCTCTCTCTCTCTCTCTCTCTCTCTCTCTCTCTCTCTCTCTCTCTCCCTAGGAGCTGCGCCTCACCCATCTTCGTGAACAACCAACACAGAACCAAATGATAAATATAATTCCGGGTCATTAGAGTAAGTGCGGGTGACCCGGGACCCGCTCGTGTCAGTGCAAGGAATGGTCTTCTAAATTAGATCTGCCGGGTCGTAGAGCACAAGTGAGGGTAATCACAGTTAATGTGGGGCCATTAGCAGGAGTCTCAGATGCCTCACGGTAATGTCAGGTCATCAGGAAAGTTATTGAAGGTCTTTTGGCTCCCATTAAGAAACAGCTAAGACCATTTGCATACTCTGTTAAGTGGCCACGAGTCATTATTGCCTGGCCTCGGTTACTTAAGGGTTCCTTAAGGGTTACACTGACTCAGGGTTACCCTCCTCCCTGTGTCAGTGGCTTGGTTCTGAGATAACAATAAAACACGAATGTTAAATGTTAAACTAGTTTAACACTTGCTATGTTAAATGCCCCTTTGGGCATTTAACATAGCAAGTTAAGAAACTACAGAAAACCAATTGCTCCGGGTCTTACTTTCTCTTGAAACAATTCAGCCATTCTACGTTTACTATACTGCTCTATAAATCTATATCTATATATTGGATCTATATCTAT